TCAGGGCTTGGTCAGGCTGGTCTCAAACTCGCTGATCAAGCAATGCGACGTACCTTGGCTCAGTGGATTGGTGGGATTATAGGTGTGATCACTGTGCCCAGCCGGAGTTAGTTAGTTGAGAAGAGATGTACGCATGTATTATGACTGATAGTCCGCCGCGGGCGCCGGCGCCCCGCGGTTCGATGAACTATGGCTTAAAGTGTTGAAAAAAAGCGTTTTGGTACGTGAAAGCGCGCAGCCCAGCTCGCCCTGGTACCGGTGTACCCTCCCTGTGGTAACCACCTTGGTGTAACTCGCATGAATTCAGATGGTTGATTGTGGTTGGAGGCCCACGAATAAAGTAAATATGCGAGTGTCTTCCCGGGCGGGTGGTGACTGAAGTGGCCCCTTGACCATGTCTGCAAAATGAAGGAATCGCGAATGTATGTTGTTTGTTTTGTGGCTAAATAGGACCATGTGTGTGAAGTACGTTTGTCCCTTCGATTGTTGAGGGCCACTATAGGTTGCCGAGAAGCTGGCTGTACGTGGCTCCCCGCAGGCAAAACGTAAGCAATATCCCTGTTAAGTATACTGATTTTCTGTCTTTTTTTTTTTTTTTTTTTTTGGACAGTGAGTTCGGCTGTGTCTCCCAGGCTGGAGTGCCATGGGTACAATCTTGTCAGCTGCAGTCCGGCCTCGCGGGTTTACGCCATTTTCTGCCTCACTCTAGTGTAGCTGACTCGTGCGCCACATTTGCCCGTGATTTGTTTGTATTTTTTTGGGTGAGACAGGATTTGACCTCATTTAGCCAGGATGGTTCTCAATCTCCTGACTGATGATGCTTGCCCACCCTCGGCTCCGCAAAATGCTGATTACAGGCATGAGCACTGCGCCGTCCCAAATTAACTAATTTCTTTCTTTTGGTATACCCAGCAGTGGATTGCGTGTCTATGATAGCGTTAGTTTATTTTTAGTTTTGGGTTGAGCGCCAAGGTTCTGCCGTAGTGTGTGTGTACAAACTTACATTCGCACGAACATGTACAGAGTGGTTCCCTTTTCTCTGCGATCCGTCACTGAGCATTTAGTTATTGGTTGACATTTCGGATAAGCGCGATTTTAACTGGGGGTGAGATGAGTCTTCTGTGAGGTTTGAGTTGGCATTTCTGCTGTAATCAGTGGTGTAGGCACCTTATTCGTATGCCTGGTTGTGCGCCGATTTGTATGTGTTTCTTTTGAGAATGTCTATTCAAAACCTTTTGCGGCATTGTTTGTGAGATAATTAGTTTTGCCTGATAGCATTGTTTTGCTCTTATATATTG